AGAGAGAGAGAGAGAGAGAGAGAGAGAGAGAGAGAGAGAGAGAGAGAGAGAGAGAGTTGGATTGAACTGTGCTCGTACAAGGGGTCAGCGAAAGAGTATGGACCATTGGATTGTGTCTGGACGATTGTATCATTTCCGGACCATTGGATGACGTTCACTTCAGTGTCTGGACCAGGGGTCAGGTAATGATGGGTTCTGTAAAAGTCCCTTGCCTTCGTGTCCGTCGCCGTTGCGATGTTGCCGGCGGGAGCTTCTCCGTAGCTGGTTTCTCGAAAGGCATACAGTTATCGCGTTTCCACCAAACCTGGCAAGTGCATCGACGGAGAAATGGAAAACAATATAACACACATGTTTAGGGCCAATTGAAGCCTAATTCAGCATGACTGAAGTTTGTATACAAAAGTTATACAATTACTGAAGTTTGAATACAAAGTAATACAAAGAATCAGAATCCGATCCGTGCGCAGGCATGCAAAAAGCTTGAAAAAAGACATGCATCCAGTTGAGCCAAGCAGTGTGCAGGAATGCAGCAAAAAACGGGACAAGGAGAAATCCAGCAAGACCGAGAGCGGCCCGCACGTTAAAACAGTGGGATCCACTTAAGCCAGAAAAAAGGAAACCCATGGGCTCAAACGGTAAGTCCAGGTGGAAAGCAAGACTTCTTATTTGCAATTTGCAAGTATATCCAAGGATATACCGTGGATTTGCCATTCTAGCAGACGGACTTACTGTTCTAGCATGTGGATTACTATTCTAGCATGTGGATCTCACTTTGTCTATGGATGTAACTTGTTGACAACGGTTTTGTTAACCACCCACTGGAGTCGTAAATCCACACATTAACCACACATGAACCATGGGCTCGAGTGGTAAATCCACACGTTAGCAACGGGCTAGAGTGGTAAGAATCCGCATGGTTAACCACTCTAGCCCGTGGTTAACCACATGTTAACCACGGGCTAGAGTAGTAAATACACATGTTAACCACACATTAACCACGGGCTCAAGTCGTAAATCCACATGTTAACCACAAGCTAGAGTGGTAGATCCACACATTAACCAACTTCTTAACCACAGGTGTATCGACACGATAGAACCATAATCCATTTGCTATCCCTCCCCCTCCACACTGTCATCAGCATCAGTTCAACCCTCTCTCTCTCTCTCTCTCTCTCTCTCTCTCTCTCTCTCTCTCTCTCTCTCTCTCTC